TATTCAACGACCAAATGTGTTTTTGTCCTAATTTGGATGTAGTGACGTTTAGGAGCGTTATAACGTGAGAACAGTGATTGACAAAAACAAGGTCCAGTTTAAAAGTGTCTCCTAAATGATTATTCTGTTGCAATTATATTAAAAAAAGAGCTTATTACATACACCACGGAAAAGGATTTAAATGAGGCCTTTTGAATAGAATCTTACAGTAATTTGCTCAATACAGGATAAGGACTCTGTTCTTATCGATGATTCTTTTTTCTGGGTTCTTTGTGTCATCAAGGACAAGGAAGATAAGTCGGCAGCATGTATCATAGCAATATTCATAAATCACGTGTTTGGCAAGTTCATGTTTTCCACAGACAACGAATAAACTCACCACAGCAATTGGCTAAGAGCTAAAATAACTCATCTGTCGTAATAAATGGGCGCTGAGGCAAGTAAATGTTTCAGACGTTTAGCAGATTTTTAGCTTACGCAACGGGATAAGGGACTGTGAGACCGGCGATTTTGGGATTTTCACAGCCGAGGAAAAAGAAGGAGCACATGCAACTAACTATGACAAAGTTGACGCATAATACAAAGATCACCGAACCTAAAATGAAGAATGGGATGGGATTTAAGGAACTGAAGGCAATACAATTACGTAACGAGATAACATTTGAAGTGGCTACAGGGGAGCGGTGACGACCACTACTAGATCATTTGATAGGAAGGCAAACGGAGGTTAAGAGGCAGGAAGATTAAAAAAAATGACTCCATCATTTAAACATTATAATTAAAGGTGCTGCAATGCAGGTTATGCTTAAGTACTCAGGCATACACACAAAACACAATTAAATCAAGATATACTCTCAACCGATGCAGCTACAATTTGAGACCAATAATACCGATAGAATGTACCCCTAGTGTTGATGTGAATGACAGAGTGCACTAGCGTCATTATCCTACAAATTACATAGACCAAAATCATTCATGGATTTTAGCCCACATTTAAGTGTACACACCCTGTAAACGATTTTACTTAATACCTAGTCAACTGCGCACTAGTTTTGTGCGTTTCCTTTTTGGGTTAGGGGAAAGAGGCCTCCTCCTCACGCCAGACACATACACGAAGATGGTGAGTGTAACGACGACCAAACGTTGTGACACACGTACCCTTAAAGAATTCATGTCCTACGTAGTGACAAAATTAAATAATCGATCTAGCCTAGTCACTATATTTATTAGGGATTCTCCGCAATGAATGGTTTAAAATAAAAGATTTCATGGTTTGAGATGTGTACGATCTGAAACCAGGAAATTTGGCAGGTGTAGGACATTTGTAACAACCTCTTCAGAATCAGGTCAAAGTGCATTAAAAACACAAACTGACCATGCCAATATTAAAAAAAAGTGGTTTTACTTGAAAATTGTAAGCGGAAAACTATCGAGTATGCATGAATGAAATCTACCTCGAGAAGAACCTACGCAAAAAATAATTTGGAAGCTATGAGACAATGATTAATTTAATGACGATTAAAAATTACACGAAGGAGATTTCCTTATTCTAGCTATGGAATGATGAACCCAACCCCGGAACGTATACGGGCCAAGGACTGCTTGAAGCAGACCTATAACAATGTTCAGCTACTACGAACTATTTTGTCGAAGATGGATAGAAACGTTTAGGTCACTTAGCACAGAAATGGCGAGGTATCAGGCTGATTAGGCAATGGCAGTAGATCCAAGATTGAACTGTCAACAATTTGAGGTTAGGTTTAGCAAGATGGCTAAACAAATGACGTTTAAACGGAGTGGAGATTTGCCTTAAGAGAGGAATTGCAAAACACTCTGCAGACCAGCAAATAAGACGCACGACATTTGTGTAATTTATTCTCGAAAATACTTTCTAAACGTATTCTTGTTTCGTCACTTGAATTAACTTGATGTTAACTGCACTTAAGGGCCCGAAAGGTTGAGCGTAATACTAGCACCAAGCACGCACTCATCGTGCAAAAAAATGTATGAGCTCAAGAGACAAACAGTAAAAAAAGAACAAAGCGAGTCACCTTTTCTACTTAGGCGGGCCTTGTTAAGAATCAGTCCCCCAGCCAGAATGCCAAATGCCCCTGACGGCACAATAAGTCCACCTAAATGAGAAGATAAAGACGTCGTCCATTTGTTTTGATCTTTTTAGCAGTCAAAACTTGCTGTGTAAATTACCATTACATGGTGCATGACTTTACAAACAAATGCGCCGTAAATAATAAAACTCTCCGATTATTTTTTTAAACTTAGTAGCAAACAATTGATAGACGTAGTTAACGTAATTAAGTTACACGATGCATAAAGTACTTTCTAATAGGTTACATAAGTGAGCAAATCGCACACAAAATACACTCATTCTAGGCTGTAAGGAATGGAGTGGAGCATGGTTACTTTCGAAGGGATGATTTCTTAACTATGATCACATACGAAAAACAAACTAATTTAATTGGTCTAACAACAAATTGGATTCACAAAGAAATTGGTAGCCGGATGGACAAACACGTTGGAGAAAATTGCGGTGACGATCGACGCAACAGAGTCACTCATGTAAAATATTGTGGATAGTTTTTCGCCGTACAATAACAGTGCCAAGAATAGTTTAAAAGTATACGGTTGCAGTGGAAGTTGTCAAAAGACACGACAAAGAAAGGCCACTGAACACAACACAGATGGAAGGGCATCCATAAATTTGCAGATCTCATTGTAATCCCATTCACCAACGGGCGAACCTTCTACGAACCTCAAGCAAGACGTCTCCGCAAAGGCTTCATACACCCCCATCAATAGAAACACAAACTCCACACAAAAGGAATCCAAGCACGACGCCTTATTAATTCAACACACTGATTTCTTTCGAAAAACGTAAGTTGCAAAGATTTAAATGGAGGGACCTCCAGCACATATTTTGCTTAGACTGATGCTAGGGAAATTCAGTTGTCAAGTCATAAGACGGAGGAAAAGATGAATGTGCTAGCGTTACGCACAAACCCAGAGGTCTGGGCCACTAACATAATTGATTTTTCGGCATTATTGTCAGATGAGCCTTCCCGGATGTGTGGATACGAGTTATAAGTTTTCAATTCCAAAACGAGATTGAAAAGTGCTATTACGCCATAATGCCACAGTACTAAGAAGTTATAATGAAAACCAAATGACTAAATACTAGGTATTTGTGCAGGGACCCGGTACATGTTGATTGGCAACAGCTGAACATAAAAAATGAAACTTAAAAAAATTTTGAAAACAAATACAAATAAAGGCGCACCACATTATTTGTAATAGTCGTTAAAATATCGGGCTTACATGGGCATGCGCAACGAATATCATTGGACAGAGTATGACGGATTATAGATATAACACCATGGAAAAAGTGAAACTGCTACCAACAGAATTCAAGCACACCCCTAAAATATTTCTAAAGCCAATTTGGTGGGAGGAAATAAAAGAAACCACTGGCATATAGGGTCAGAAACTGTTTAATCACGTGCCCTAAAAATGGTTCCGTGCAACGAAGAAACATATAGCAATCTGTGTAAAATCATGGTTTACACTTAAGTTCCGAAGAAAACGTATTTATTTGCAGCTCACGACCTTCTGAGGAGGAGGAGGAGGAGAAGGCGAGATGAGAGCCGTGTTAACTAAAGAAATAGTAAACCCCATAACCCAAATAACACAGGTGAGTTTGTTTGAACTTTATAGACTAAAGTTAGTCTTAAAACAATGGGGCACAGAGTTTCAAGAAGGCCGTGTTCACAGTGACCAGAAAAAACAAATACCATCAGGCTTTTTGGATCTTGACCATGTGATTGCCGGCTCGGAAAAAGACAACCACTGTGATATTATGATCATGAAATGAGTTCGCTCAAGCTTTTAAAATCCATGTGAAGGGCTGCATTGTGCGTCAATACCAAAGCCAAGAACCAAATCGAAAAACGATAAATAGTTCCAGCAAGATCAAACCGGTTGCAAAACTAAGGTAAGTAACAACACCGGAATAGTGTAAATTAGCAACACTTTCACTTAGTGCTGCCGAATTCGGAAATGAGAGTGTCGGCTGTCAATTTAATCTGTCACCGGATTTAAACGCATACATGGGTGACGACAGCGAAAAATGCGCTGGCGGATTCGGAAACCGGCGGGTCGACAAGGCTCTAGACCCTAGTCGCGGCAAGTAGGATACAACGATGCTAACTATTTAAGTAGGAAATGAAGCTGCAGAATATTCTATGTTTACTAGAGAGCAGTTTCGGAAGTTGAACGAGGTGCGACAAATTTCACTGAGCTACCCAAAAAGAAAAGTACGTAAATTTAAATCAATGGTCACAAGAAGACACATGAAACACTTCGGGGAAGTGTTTGCTATAACGACGGTTAATGAGTTAGGAATTCACCAAAGAGTTACTTTTTACTCGTGTACCCTGAATGGAAGTCACCATACAGGTATACATAACAGCATTGTGACCATTAAGAGTGATGAGCCAAGAGCGCTTACGTTGTGCAATGGCAGTCCTGTAGAAAAATGAATTTTTTTCCAAATTAAGAATGACAGAAATCGTCAAACAATATGCATACACAAGGATAACACACGCACACATGAATCGTGAAATTTAGGCAGCGAAAACAATCAAATACAAAATGAGAACTATTCTAACGGTGCAATTGCCGAATGCAAAGCTTGCTCAAACCCCCCAATCCTGCTTAGTCTCGACGTAAAACTACCCAAAAATGTTTTAAAAAATTTGGTACCCTCTTACTAATGCAAGTAATATACCGTCATTAAGGCGGTGGAACTCCCATTCTGTTTTTAGTGTATTGATTCCAAAAAACAAGTTTCGCCTACGTAAAGCGATCTTTAAAAAATAGGACACGACCAACTACATCAAGGATGAATTAATTCATCAACAGACAATAAGTTAAATTAAACATTTCTTTCACATTCAAATCATTTATTTAAGGAAGTGCACTGTAGTATTGACTAAGTGTGAAATCATATTTTCCTCAGTCGCTTCATAAAGTACACCTATCTTTGACAAATCACAATGACTAAACTGCCTTGTGGCAACGAAAATAACCTAATTAGTACGTTCTAGTGATTTCTTACCTCTTTCACAAGCCTTGACACATGCAATACTTTTTGAGTGCAATAAGAGTGATTCGACAGAAAAAATGTAACCCATTGAGATGGTTAGCGAAATTGTATATTGACTGAATCAGTTGATTGAAAATTTTCCCCAGGACCCATCAAGAAGCCGGCTTGAGACCATAACTTATCTTCTCATCATAATGCCGAACACACCGCCCACGGAAATTAAAGAAACCAATACATAAGATGCAATCTACGCACAGAGATCTCGGGATGGCATGATTTGAGCAAAGAGAGATTGAACAGAAAAACTTGCAAACTGTGTGTGTGGCCTTGTTCGACCATCTGATCAACAGCACACACGGCGGTGAGTTAAGCTCCGATTAGATGTTGATAGTAAAATAGCTTTAGACTTACCGGCAATCATACTGGCTGTAGTCTTTGATATTTGATATTCTATCTCCATGTACTTGGGCAGAAAGCCGGCAAATCCGATTACGATGAACATTTCGCAGCAAATACAAAGGCAGGTGACTACGTAGATTTCGTTTTTCAACAAAGCAAAAATGGATTTAGGAATGTCCTCTGCAAAGAAAGTAACAACGATTTCAGTCAAGGCTAGATTAATGGGGATTTGCGTTCACCGTGACCCAAATTTGAAATTGTTAAGTTTTGGACTATTTTGAAAACTACAGATCCGAGAAGATTAGCAAGATATTTAGTGTTTGACGTAATCGGAACACATTTCGCGGTTTACCATCCAACTACCATTTGTTCCCATCAATGAAGCAATACGCCTCTATGGATACACATTTCAAAAGGCTTGACGATGAGCGTGAATTCGTGAATGAGGACTTCATGGCCTCGAAGCCAGCAAGTTTCTTTCCCAACGGCATTCGTACGTTACCTGAGGGATGGCGCCAGGTCATTTAAAACAACGAACAATTTTTCCGAGATTATTTTCTTTGCGAGCTATTCATTATATTAAAGCAACTTGCTAAAACTGTAAAAATTAAGTCATATACTCAATACATAATGTGCGAAATAAGCGTATCAAAACGGAGGAATAGGAAAAAAATATTCAGGCAAAAAGATTAGAGAAAAGATCAGATTCAACAATTAAAAGAGGTCCATAGTAAGTGCGATAATAGAAATAGAAAGCGGTTAGGTTTCAGCAGATCGATGAACAAAACGGAACTCGCGTACTCATGTGTCGCTACTTAACGTGACTGCGCACATTTCGAAATGTAAGATCACAAATTTGGCTAATAGGCAACCAGTTCCATCACCAACGAAAACTTCGTGAAGAACTTAACCCGATCAACGCGAAATCTATGAAATAAGTTTTCAATGTACACTTATACGAAATATAAAGAATTCCAGAAATTGCACAAATTATTCTTTAGAACTCAAGCTACTATTCAGGGAGTAAGTAAAACCAGTCATTAAATGAAAACCCTGATAGTCGAATGTAACAAAAATAGCACTTAAATTCAGACTTAACAGTACTGGAAAGTACAATTGCATTAAACGGACTCGAAAAGTTCTTAGGAGCCATGCCTGTACTGACAAGAACTATCAAGAGGTTTTGACACAAACCAATGTGGCAAACCATGATTACTTACCCACCACAATAACTTTTCACCAGGGCCATTCCACTATTTTAAAGGACAACATTTACGCAAACGGTAGAACAAAGCGATGGATTTTGCATCTGAGGAAGGCGATTAAACAGCAAAATTTTATTCCAGATCTACTTCTACGCATGGCGTCCAACTTGCAGTGTTACGTGGGGGTTTTCAGTAAGCCGGCTTAACTGGTGTCGTGTTGGGCCAGTGAGGTCGACTTTGCCGTGTGTCAGACAAGCAACTTTCAAATAACACCTTGCATGGTTTGCAATCGGTTCGGTTTAGCAAACTGACTTAAATCAAGACGATGTTGTGGTCGAGAATGGATGGCTAATTTCCAGGAAAAGGTTCCTACTGATTACCATTTCGAAGGTGTTTAGAGAAAACACTCAGTTGTATATTGCTGTTGTGGGTTGATTTATGGACAAGCACGTTGGCTTCAAAACACCAGCACATGACTGGTGCCTTTTCTACCGGTCTTGCAGAAAGCTGGTTGTATTCTTTTGCACTATTATCACAACTAAAACTGCTGTGGTTGAACTAAACGCTTGGCAACTACGTTTATAGATGCTAGCTTAATCGGGAAACCAAAAATTTTATAATATATCGATTGATTTGTACGTTTATTTTAGAAAAGGATATTTTCGTACATTAAGTGTCGTAGAGCACGATGAAGTACGTTGCCGTTTCACGTACCTGCCGCACATTGCATTGTCTACAAATAGTCATCTGCAAATCACACGAATAGCCGACGATAAGTTTGTCTTTGTAGCCATACAGTTAAGGTCTAAATTTATATGTTGACACTGGCGTCACGAACATCGCTCGATAAGTCCGACTTCAGAGCTGTTTGGGGCACAAAGTCTCGTTGTTGTTAAAAGACAATGACGACTAAGATTTACCCTTTTGTGACCTGTGCTGGATTGCTTATCAGCGCACCTAAAACTTTGGATGATCGAATGCTTCTGTGTAGGGCGATAACCATCATTTTCTTCCGTTTTTTGGTCTGAAATGTCTTTTCATCGACAGATATTTTTTTAAGAAGGACCTGGCCTTATAAAATGCTTCAAATAAACCTTGAATCATTTAGGTTGTCGCTGTAGAAGAAAGTAGAACGGAGAAATAAATACGTGACTATATACATTTCCATTTAAACAGCTGAACTTAATCCCTCGATGTTCTCGAAATGGGTTGCTATGTTTAGGACAAATTGAAGCGACTTCACTTTTATCAGTCTTTACCTTAATATTTCCAAAAAAGGTTATTAAATACCTGATGGTCTTTTGAATTAATTAGAATTTCGTCACATTATTCGCCATGGTTCGTCCTTGTTATTTACTTGAACAAAATCTGACCAAATTGAGTCGTCTCGCAAAAAAAATGGAAAGACTTCATTACCGTCTGCGCGAACATTAAAATCATTGCAATGGGAATCTGCTTAGACTGGTAATTAAACATAAAATCAGTGGATTATGCGAAAATTAGGAAGACAATTTGCGATAATTAAAGAGGTATGAATTCAAATAATCAAAAATGTAATTGGTTGCTACCACAAATAAAATTTAACGAACTGGAAACAAATCACGGTTAACTGCTATTGCAATTGCACAATGCAGACGGGCTTTAATTTTTAAGGCTTGAAGATACGAACCGCAACGACAGCCCACGTGGAAGCCAAAAGGTTAAGTCTAGTTTGAGTCTCTACAATGATAATGCACACGCGAACGTGCGGAAGAACAACGTTAAAGCGAAGCAATTTGCACGGAGATGGCCCAACAAAGGCGATGCCACTAGCGCGCGCCACGACAAATCACGTGGTTGGGAAAAACCAGGCCTGATTCGGTGAATATGGAGCCTGTGATTTTGGTTATTAGGCTAACCAACTTTAGCGTTTAGAAAATCATTGGGATATCAGCGCAATCATAAGCAACGTTTAAATATCGACCATTTTTATTTACGCCTGGTTTAAGCAAAAGCAAATCTGTAACGATGCCAAAATGCAACGAGTTTCTAATGACGTATAGAAATTTATCGTTCTATTAGCTCGAATCTACATCCAACTGTAGAATCTAGCGCAACGGTTATGCAAATCCTGTATATAACCGGCGGGCAGGTTAAAAGGATTAATCAAAGTAAATTGCTAACTTTGATTCAAAAATTTGCGTTAGAAAACCAAAAATGTGTTTTATATTTAACAACTACTTTGTGCAATGTACGTTGAGTGATTTTTTACGAAGAAACCCTAAATGGAATAATTTAAAGATCCTGACATTAGTTTGTACCATGAATAAGGATCCGGGCACCTGTCTACATTTGAAGTTGATGACAAATTTGAGTGGTCAATATGAACGATTGTGAGTTATTCGGCAAATTACTTGTAAATTAGCTTTGATTCCGTCTATGAAATAACCCACAAAAGATTGTTGCAAAAAGGGCGCCAAAAACAAAAAAACAACGAAATTTTGAGCCATCATGTAAAATCTAAAACAACGATTAAGAGAGAATGACACCCAAAAATGTTAATACTAGTAATGACACATTCATTCATCACTATTAACCTGAAATAACAAGCCAAGCATAGAATGGAAACACTCACAATCACTAACGAAACAACACAAGGAAGAAATTAATCTAATCACCAAAACGTCGGCTGATCTGTCTTAAACGAGAATAATGCATGCATAAATGAAGGAACCCGAACTTCCGGAATAATGCTCCAAATTAGCCAACGGACAAAAACAGGTTTGCTCAACTGTGGCATCCAAAGGAGTTTGATGAGATGGGATTGAGTTCGTGCCAGCGTGCAATTACGTGCTGTGATTGACGAAGACCAACAATTTCAAGAGTCACTGCTTACAGCCTAAAGCTTTAATACCACAAAACAATCACATGAGTCGTTGAAAACAAAACAATTACAGAGGCTACTACAACAAGGAACTACAAAATTAGTTTGAAATTTCCAAATTAGAAATAAAAGGATTCAACTTGACTAGGGGCGTTAAAAATGCAGTTTAAGCGGAGTTCGTTGATAGTGATGCTTTAATCGGAACTCGATGATATAAAACAAAATTTCAGAAAATTCGAAAATGACTGCAGAAACATGAGTGAAGAAAAGCAGAGCTAAAGAATGCGCTAAGTAATATGGCTTTCAAAAAAACGTAAAAACTTACTGCTCCAGTCAGCAAGAAAACCAAATATACGACCTCGGATGATTTTTCGGCGGCGCCTTCTACGGTGGCTGTGAAAGTGCACAAGAATTGACGGTTTTGTCAACGATGAGGTTGAAATGGGATTTGACGATGAATTCGGAGATTGATTTGAGTCACCCTCAAGAATCGGAGGATGTGAGCGCTTGGGACCACCTTGTGATTTGCGAATGGGAGTGGCTTTTACATCAAAATCGAATTCGTTTCTGTCTGACGTCTCGTTAGCTAACTAAAATATAAAATAACTTAGCTGAGGTTTTGAAGAGAGAAAATGTATTCACGTAAAAGCATTACTTGATAAGTTGATTTATTAATGATGCTGACACTTTAAATGGAGTTATGAACGAAAAATGCACACATTGGCTTTTATCAAGTACAAACTGTTTATCACTAAAACCACATAGTTTTACGACGTAATAGCACAGATGAGACGCACATACCACATCTTCGTGGATGTGTCTCTGTGTAGTAACAAAGTTCTCTGACTTATTCGTTTTTAAAGTATAGGCCCAGTGGCATTGAGGGTGTCGTGAGCTCGATTTTACACTAGTCTATAACTTGGGACATTAATATGCATCTACTGGATTCAAAGGAGAAGAAAAGTAATTAAGAAACGAAAAATTTAGACGATAAGTTAATTACAACAGGTCAATGTATGGCTCAAGTATTAATACGTAGAAATTAAATTCACGAAAATGAAATGAAGATTGTACGTTTTTTATGGGATTTGTAGAGGCTTCAGGAGTACAGTCCTCTAACATGACATCAAGGGTGGGCGGCGAAACACCCAACGAATTAGGTGTACGAAATCGCCTTCTGAAACCACCGACAGACTGCGTGACACCGCTACTTGAAGATCGTGATAACCAGGAGGGGGATACCCACCGCCTCTGTTGCCAGGCGCTAAGACTTAGACTCCGGCCAATAGAGGAACGTACGGCGTGTGTGGGTCGTTGCGAATCATTTGTCATTTGGTTCAAGCGGTTTTGCCACTTATCTAAATGGAAAAAATCGAAGATAAATTGATAAGGAGCACTTTGACATAGATACTTCAAAACTAGTGGCTCGATTTATGAAAGAAGCCAGGGTAACCACAACAGTCAAGCTTTCAACCACAGATCGAAAACTAGAATAAAAGGATAACTAGCTAAAATAGTTAGCGCCTTATAATACTAGTGTTCTAAACTAAGCAATACCTAAGAAATACATAATAATGATGCGGAATTAATAAATAATTTTCCGTACTGGAGATTACAAGCTATACATTGTGGAGTTTGAAAAGACCATTTAGGATATCTGTATGTTATTTTGGTACATCAGAATAGACTCCTGACTCCGTTAGAATAACACGTCCATGCAAATAGTACGATAGCATACGCAAACAAGCTTTAAAAGAGCACATAAACGTAAATAAAAAACTGGTCATAATATACAATTAATGTGCCTATAAGATGCCTACTTTGCCTTTTTGACTCTTCGGGCGACGAACTGTCCGACTCACTGGCTGATTCGCTCAAGTCGGTTTCAGTAGGAGCCACTTCATCCTCTTCCTCTGCGGCGTGTGAGGCTGTGGCAGCTAGAATTGCAGCGTGTAAGAGAATGCTACTGACAGAAGCTGACCGCTGGTGACGGGATCGGGCGGTGGGAAAGAATATGGACGGACGTGTGCCTCCGGTGACAGGAGCAGGGATGTTGGTAGGTGTGGAAGTGAAGGGTGCATTACCAGAGAACGATCTGTGATGGTATTGGGAGGTAGCACGTTGCCGATAGGACTGATGGATCACCTGTGAAGATTGCAAGTGCAGAGGGAACGGGTGTGAAGCCTCTGCAACAGGCGTTGTATTCCGCGATAAGTTGTGCAGATTAGTGTCGTTCAATTCGACGTCAACGCTCTGAATACCGACTCCACTACAACCAGCTCTATTGTTTTCAAAGGATCGTTTGTGTGAAGTGAACGAGGACCGCAGATTTCGGGGAAACATAATTAGAATACAGGCACCCAGGAAGACACCAAAACCTTAAAATAAACACCATTATAGATGACACGGTCTCAGATACTTCAATGAATTTTCCTATGGACTGACTAACCACGACAGCGAATATACATAAACAAACAAGATCTACTTAGAGTAACCGCATGACCCGTAGTATTGTTAGTATGCTATGCTTTAACCAGTTTTAGTGTAAGGCCGAGAGGCATTAGTGTGCAGTCGAAGCAGAGTACGTTAAAATTTGTCTCAAATTTATGACTAAGTGAAAAAAAGACTTGTATGCCTGCGAAACTAACGATTACGTGGTGCCCTATAGGATAAAAATGTTTGGCTCAGTTCGGTCAAAATAACTTTAGTATTAAAAAATGGTTTAGCAAAACTTGCAGAGACTCTATTTTATATAACACTCGAAAGTTATCGTAAGCTGGCTCAGTACTAGACTTTCAAACTAACACCTAGTAGTAAAAATAAACTCACCGAGAACTATGTAACCAGCCCACCAGAGACCAATCCAGTCTTCACTGGCCGGTGTTAGCGCAGCACTAAGAATTTTCGTTTTAGACCACTTATCCATAGGATGCTGCAGCATAAAGGCGCCTAAGGCATAGCCAAAAACAGGACCAAGGGCAGCAGCGGCGTATAATGAAGCTAAAACAAAGTTTTTGATACAGAAAAATATGAAAAAAGTATTATCGTTACGCTTTCACTTGGTGTTAATACTGCTTTTGGAAGATAAAATGGGGCTCAATACATTAATTAAATTAAAGAATATAGTAATAAGCGTGCTTTAACTTGCTAGGACACAATTATTTGAAAAAACCATTCCTGTCCAAAAAAATATTTTTTTTACTTAAGGTACCAGGAAAAGCCCATTTTAACTCAATAGTTAGAGAAATGTATGCTTATAATTTCTTGTTGTAAAAAAAGTTTAGTAGCATCATAAAAGCCAACAAGAGTGTACAAAACCAAAGTAATGAGTTCCAAAGCATCAACGAATCGGTTTGCATTAAACGTACCAATCATTCCAGGTGCTTTCGAAGGAGGCACATGATCATCAACGAAAGGCGGAGCTAGAGTTAAAATAGGACTAGATCCCGCACCAATCAAGAACTGGGCACACAATAAAATTGGCAAAAATTGATATGCACCACCAGCCTGGGAACGACAAGGGGTTTCCTCCGCTACACTAAGGTTATTTTCTATGTTTTTCGGGCACAAATGTTCGCTTTTGCCAGAAGAGAAGGATGTGTTGTAAGGAAAGAGGAACTGGGGTACTGAGAAAAGAAATGCACCACATGACATAGCAAAAAGACCACAGGAAATCCAAAGCGGTACACGCCCCATTGACCCAAGGTAGCTAACTATCATAACACAACTGATATATCCAACTTCAAAAAATGAGTTGATAGAGCCAATGACGATGCTGCCGACAGCAAAACGTTTTTCCAATGTTGTTATCTGGGAACTTGTGTAGCCAGAGTAGGATGCTTGTAGGCAAGACACAAAACACATCGCTGCTATAAATGCGCGTATGTCTCTCAGAGGTTCCAGGCATGACGGACGCCAGAGTCCTATGCCACAATAATCAACTTTCGGATCTTTATTCGATTCCATAACGTCGTTCGGACAATGAGATTTGGGTTTTAGAGAATCACTATCATCTGCAGGGCATGAGTCCATATTGAGAATGAAGCGGTTTCGACTATGAAAACGGTAACTCAATCAAGTGTCACCAAGTCAAACGAACGCCCGAAACAACACCTTGAACATTCCACCGAAAGTGTGATTGACCAGTAGAATGTAGTGTGGTGTGGTGTGGCGTCGGATTAGGGCGCAGACATATTGGACCACCTGGCCTCAGCCAATCCTGTGTCTCTCT